CCTCTCTCTCTCTCTCTCTCTCTCTCTCTCTCTCTCTCTCTCTCTCTCTCTCTCTCTCTCTCCCCCCACCACGGCTGCCTGCCGACAATCACAACGCCCCCCTGCCGACGTCCCACCGCACGACGCGTCCCCGCACAGCCCCCGACAGGCGCCGCGCCTCATCTAGAAACCCAAGCCGCGTGGACCCGCCCTTGCCCTACGTCCCCGTGCACCGCCGGTCCCCGTGCGCCCCCAGACCGCCCGCCGACCGACCTCCAAACCGCTGCGCCGCTCGGGTGAATCGCGGCGCGCATTCCTACCACGATACCGATACCACGATACCGGTCCGCTGCTGCTCTCGCGTGTGGGGCCGTGGCAGCGGCCGCGGGTCTCGCATCTCTCACATCTGGGACCCTGCCACCACCACCGGTGTCTCATGTGGGCCCGTCACGCGAGACCCGTGTTAGAGAAAAAATGGAACCATGGGTTGGCACACGTTGGTGGAGAGGCCACAGACACATGGGGCCTCTCGCCACTGGCCTACTTTGGACACGTATCTGGACTGTTTTCTGCACAAGATCCATTTTTCCAACTGATGAAACATTCTGAATGGATTTGACCATTATGAGGTCCAGACTCCAGATGCATTTCGAACATACATGCGGCGCATCACGTGTGCTCAAGTTGCGCATGTGCACGCATGCGCATGCACGTGATGCGGTGCATTTGCAAATAAAAAATAAAAATAAAAAAGGGTAGGCTGCGGTAACCATCAGTGCCCCTCCCTTTTGAAATTGGAAGTCCACAGGGAAAAAAATATTTTGGGCTAGGCTGTTTTCCCGGGTGCCCGGGCACCCAACTTATGCCCGGGTACACGCCCGGGTGCCCGGCCGGGCATGACCCCCGGCAGGGTTCCGGGCAGCCCCAGCGGCAAAAAAAAAAAAAAAAAAAACCCCTCAAAAAAATCCGGAAAAAAAATATGTTGTGTAGGATTGAAATGCAAACCACTTTTGGCTGAGGGTCACATTATAATTCCTCACAGAATCGGAGATAAAAAAGAAAATAACAGAATCGCACAAAGGCACCCCCCTTTAGACCCCCTTTAGCCCCTTTAAATCCAATTTATACCCCCCTTCCCCCCCCTTGACAGCCAACTTGGAAAAAACGAAATGAGCCCGGATTTGGAGTCCTCTGGGAGAGCGCAGTTGCACGCCCGGGTACCCCGGGCGTCAGACCCCCTCGGGCGTCACGCCCGGGTGCCAGGCCGGGCAGGACTGGCCGGGCGTGAGAATCTTCCTAGATTTTGGGGCCAGTTTGTACTACTCACTGGATCTATTTTCTTTTCCAGAAGGTCCCCTGCAAAGAATCAGCAGGGTTCCCATACTTTTGGACGGATGTTCATTGAACTGCTGGCAGACCACGAGCAGGCCAGCAATATATCCTGAATTCGGATTCAGGTCTGTGTTCCAAGAGTTATGGGTTACGAAAGTACTACAAACATTACAGTAGCTGTCTCATTTTTTTTGTTCTTCCTTTTCTTATGTGGAGTGGCCCTAAGGGCCTCACTCCACTCATAACAAAAGAAAAACATGTGGTTTGTATGGTTCCAGTTTGTAGGAGAAGATTCATTCTAGTTTTGCACATTTGGTGAGTAGTGGAGTGAAGCCCTGGAAATCACATGCCGAGTTAGTAAGTCAGTAACCCATAACTGCTGAAACATGGACCTGAATTCAAAGCTACACCATATATAGCTGGCCTGTACCCTCCTTACTACAAGTCCAGTGACTACCCTTCTCCTGACGACGGGACCCTTGCCAATTTTTGGCAGGGACCTTTTGAAGTACTGGCAAGGGTTGTCTGAATAATTTGAAATGGTTGTTTGCTCTCTCTCTCTCTCTCTATAGCATGCATACGCTGCTTCTTCTTCTTTCTTTCTTTCTTTTTTTGTTTTTATTTTTATTTTTATTTATTAATTATTATTATTATTATTATTATTATTATTATTATTATTATTATTATTATTATTATTATTATTTTTGCGCATCTGCAATCAGTGCAGCACACTTCATCTATGTGCTGCAAGTATGATTTAAAATTGTTGTGCAGACAGTGCAGCCTGTGGATGTGCTGCTGACTACAAGTTTGTGACAACTTGACTATTTTGTTTCTGATTTGCGTTTTTTTTTTTTTTGTTTGTCTTTTTGGCTGCGCCGCACTCTGCTGCAGTGACGTACAGAGGTAAACCCTGGAAGGGTCAAGTAAGCAAGCTTAGCTGTTTGACCCCTCCGTGAACCACCGAAAGGAATTAATTTAATAGCATTTGGCCCGATGGACCACGGATCAGATTATAATATCATTATATTGATCTAATCAGAACAGATACTACACTTGGTCTTAGCCAAAAAAGATTGAGAAAGGTATTTTGAAAATTTTGGACAATTTCTAAACTTTTATTAAAAATATTATTAATAATAATAAAATTTGGACCATTTTTTGATTTATGCATGTCATCCTTGCGTAGGGGCCGTTGTAATCAATCTTCTGTGTATAGTTCTAAATTTAACGGATGTCTTGAAGCGCATCTGCTGTTTTTTTGACTTACGTCCTGTTTCGTTGTGATTTCGTCTTGTCATTTGGTATAGGTAGGGGGGGGGGGGGGGGGGAGGAACGTCTTCCAAGGGGGAAATCAGCCAGGGACCATGCCGACCTACAACATCAGCTCTGTTTGTGTGGACTTTCCTTTTGAGGCATATGAATGCCAGATAGTGTATATGAGCCGGGTCATTGAAGCTCTGCAAAAGGTAAAGCGTAAAGATAAACATTTTTTTTTTTTTTTTTTTTTTTTATGCATCTTTTTTTTTTTTTTTTTTTCCCCCCCCCCCCCCGCCTTTCTCAAAGAGCTCACTTTTTATTACTTCGGGCCCAATACCCAAGGCAAATATACAGTTCATCATTTCAAAAATAGAAAGAAAGGAAGAAAGATAAACAGGTTTCTTTCTCCCTTTCGTCGTTGTCATTTCTCTATCTTCCTTGAATCGCTATAAATAAGAGAAATATAATATTATCCTTTATTAAAGAAGAAAACAAACAAAAGAGAAAAAGAAAAATGAAAAAAACAGTTCTAATTGCGATAAAAAAAATCCAAGTGTGGATGTTCACACAGCCTGAATGTGAAGTGGAGGTTCACGATCCTATCCCGGACCTTATCCCCGCGGCTATCATTTACCGAGGCTATCATTTGCTGATGCTATCGCCGATCCTATTGTTGGCCGATGCTATTGTGAGAAACACTTTCCGCGTATCTACGAGTAAAGTGACGTGACCTGCTTGTTGAAACCGTATGTTCGTCGATATTTGAAGGCCACTAAGTGGGAGATCCTGGAAGAGCTGATAAGAAACCTGAGAAAAGTCGGCCCGTGGGAGCCTTTATCTCAAATTATCGTTGCTGGTGCTATCCCCGACCCTATTGCTTGTTGAATGCGTACAATTCAACTTTTCCCACTGTATGTTCGCCGATATATGAAGGCCATGAAGTGGGAGAGACTGGAAGAGCTGATAAGAAACCCAAGAAAAGACGGTCCGTGGGAGCCTTTAGCTCGAATTATCGTTGCTGATCCTATCCCCGACCATATTGTTTACGGAGCCTATTGTTTGCAGAGCCTATCCCAGAGCCTATCGGCGAGCCTATAGTTTGCTGAGCCTATCCCCAAACAATAGTCCTAATGTTTGCCGACCCTATCCCCGACCCTATTGTTTATCAATTCTATCGTTTGCTGATCCTATCCCCGACCCTATCCCCGACCCTATCCCTGACCCTATCCCTGACCCTATCCCCGACCATATCCCTGACCCTTTCCCCGACCATATCCCTGATCCTATTGTTTGCCGATCCTATCCCTGACCCTATCCAATCGTATCGTTTACCGATCCTATTGTTTGCCGACCCTATCCCCGACCCTATCCGATCGTATCGTTTACCGATCCTATTGTTTGCCGATCCTATCCCCGACCCTATCCCCGACCCTATCCCCGACCCTTTCCCGGACCCTATTGTTTGCCGATCCTATCCCCAAACCTATTGTTTGATGATCCTGTCCCTGAGCTTATTGTTTGCCGAGCCTATTGTTTATCGAGCCTATTGTTTGCTGATCCTATTGTTTGAATACGAGTATGCTCACTATCATTATCGGGCCCAAACCTTAAACCCTGATCCCACATATGTCAGTACTGAGTTTATTGATCCTTAAACCACCAGTACGTTTCCCAGCCATTTTTTCAGAGTCACGCTGCACCTGCTGTTGCGACCCCTGGGAAGAACTGGTGCGCCGTTTCGTGGCACATCCATCCAGGCAAAACGACTCGCATGCGAGACCCGTTTTGCCTGGATGGATGTCCAGCGAAACGGCTTCCCGGTACTTCCCGAGAGTGACAGCAGTACGCATGCTGTGACTCTGACAAAATGGCTGGGAAACACACTGGTGGTTTAAGGATCAATGAATTCCGTAGTGACATATGCGAAATTGGGGTTTAAGGTTTGGGCCTGATATTAGGGTTTAAGGTTTGGGCCTGGTATTAGGGTTTAAGGTTTGGGCCTGGTATTAGGGTTTAAGGTTTGGGCCTGGTATTAGGGTTACAGGTTTGGGCCTGGTACTGATCTTGAGCATACCCATATCATGATTTTTTTCTGGATGCAACTGACCTTAATTAGGACCTTGGCACACAAAGCAAAACGGTTCGCTTGCACGGCCCGTTTTGCCTGGATGGTTGTCCAGTGAAACGGCTTCCCAGTACTTCCCAAGAGTGACAGCAGTACGCACGCCGTGACTCTGACAAAATGGCTGGGAAACACACTGGTGGTTGAAGGATCAATAAATTCAGTAATGACATATGCGAAATTGGGGTTTAAGGTTTGGGCCTGATATTAGGGTTTAAGGTTTGGGCCTGGTATTAGGGTTTAAGGTTTGAACCTGGTATTAGGGTTTAAAGTTTGGGCCTGGTACTGATCTTGAGCATACCCATATCATGATTTTTTTCTGCATGCAACTGACCTTAATTAGGACCTTGGCTCACAAGCAAAACGGTTCGCTTGCAAGGCCCGTTTTGCCTGATGGATGTCCAGCGAAACGGTGCCCCGAGAGTCGCGGCAGCATGCAGGCCATGACTCTGGAAAAATGGCTGGGAAACATGCTGGTGGTTTAAGGATCAATAAATTCAGTACTGACATATGTGGGATTAGGGTTTAAGGTTTGGGCCCGTACTGATTTTGAGGATACTCATATTCGGACCTCTTTTTCTGGATGCAACTGACCGCAATTAGGACCTAGGCACACAATGCAAAATTGTCGAACCTCATTTTCTACCTGACCCTGGTCATCCCAAGGCGTCATGTGGTCTGCCAGCTGTTTTACCCTCCTAGGCCGCACTGGCCCATGTGGAGGTCCCCCCTCGTGCACTGGCATGATTGGTCAGGCCTCCTGCTAGCTGCTGCCAGCCTTTCTGCCCTCGTACACTGACTTCACCTGCAGCCTCCTTGTGCACCCGTGACGGCTACCATCTTCCCCCAAACACAACGCACCCGCATTTTGGCTGCACCAGACCGGAAACATAGCTCGTATACATTCATTATCAGGGTGCGTTGTGTTCCGGCGGAAGACGGTAGGTGGAAACTCAAAGAAGGAAGTGAAGGGGGCATGGGCAACCCGTGGAGCATGCGATTCAATTGCTAGAACGCCCTTGACGTATGAAAGGAAGTCTTCCCCCGAATTGAGCGCATACCCATTACCTCCGTATCTAGACCGAAAGTTGCCCCCAGTACAGCTATTTTGCCCGTATGTTCCGTGCGTTCTATTTTTGGGGTGTTCTATTCGGGGGGCCACGCGGTAGGTGACGGTAGGCTCTTTTGAATCACCACTTCGGCCCCCAGGCAAAAACGTAAAAGTGATGCTGTATGCACACCCTGCAACTTCCAGGGTTCCCTTCTTGTTAGTTCTCCTCCTTCCTCCTTCGCCCTCCAACTGCGTTCTTCCTCCTTTCTCCTTCCCTGAGCTTGCTGAGCCTTTTTGGTAGCAACTTATAAATAGAATAATCAAATAATAAATAAGAAATATAATAAATTATGTCAATCATGTATCATGTAAATAAAATAAAAATAATAAAATAGAAATAATAAATATAAATAGATCCTTACTTGTCTCCTTCGTCCTTCCTTCTTCCTCCTATCATGTAAATAACATAACAATAATAAAATAGAAATAAATTCAAATAATAAATATAAATAGATCCTTCCTCGTCTCCTTCGTCCTTCCTTCGTCCTCCTTCCTTCATCCTTTCTCCTCCCTCTTGTTCCTCCTCCTCCTCCTCCTCCTCCTCCTCCTTTTTCTTCTTCATCTTCTTCTTCTTGTGTAAGAAACAGTGTCCACCCTTGACACTGAAAAGGAACCCAAATTCCAAAGCTTTGCAGGTGGAGAGTAAAAGCATGCAGCTTCTGAATGGTGAACCCTTGAGTAGGACAATGAATGAAAATTCCAAAGCCCTGCACGTGAGGCGCAGAAGCGCGCAAGTTCGTTATGGTAAACCCTGGACTATGCAAAGGGGTCGCAAAGCCATAACATATATATACATATATGTATCTGCTGTATATAGATATGTAATCTGGGATTTCTCTTTTTTTGCAGACGAGAGTTTTGTCCTGGGTGGTCTTGTCCTGTCGTTTGGCCTGTGAAGGAGGGGCGGTGCTTGCATGTGGGACTTGTCATCTAGGCGTCATTTTTGGTGCTATTGCTTGTTGCCCCCTGTTTTGTTGTATTTGGCTATTCCCTTCCTCTTTTCTTGCCTCTTCGCCGTTTGGCTGTGTGCAAGTGGGTCGATATGACACACAGGGGTGGGGGCAGCCGCCGCTCAACCTACATCCACGTGGGCGGCCTTGTACACAAGAGGTTCTGAACAGGGGGAGTTGTAAGAAAGAAGATAAAAAAACGAATTGTTTTTTTCTTGTTTTCCTCTGTTTTTTTCGCCTTTGCGCTCTGATATTCATGTGACGATATATATATCGTTTGTTGTCCTCTTCTCCCTCTCTGCCTACGGTTTACCGGGCAGTTCTATTTGACGATATATATATATATCGTCACATATATATATGTTTGACGATATATATAAATATATATAATATTATATATCATTATATATATATATATATATCATCAAACAGAGCTGTCAGGTAAACCGTAGGCAGAGAGGGAGAAGAGGACAACAAACGAGAGGCTGTGACAAACTGTTTCGTTGGAGTTTCACATACTTTCTATCCTTTTTCTTTTCCCTTTGCTTTGCTCTTCCCCATTGCCGGGGTATTCCGATTTACGGACCTACTGTATGGTTCCGTTTTTTCAAGTGTTGGTTATGGTAGAATTGTCGGTATTTTTGGTACTCTTTGTCTGCATCCCTGTTGGTTTTGTCTCGTTGTTCGGTCCACGTGGCGGTGTTTCATGTGGGACTTGTCATCTGTTTTTTTTTCTTTTTGGCATCCTAGTTGGCTGGTTCCCGTTGTTTGGCCTATTGAAGGGGGCGGTGCTTTTAGGTGGGAATTGTCATCTGGGGTTGTCTTTATATATATTTTTTGCAGGCAAGGGTGTTGATTGCTATCCTGGTTGGTCATTGTCCCGTCGTTTGGCTGGTGACGTAGGGGGCGGTGCTTGCATGTGGGACGTGTCATCTAGGATCTGTTATGCTTGTTTTTTGGCACCCTTGTCTGCATCCCGGTTGGTTTTGTCCCGTTGTTCGGTCTATTTTGGCGAGCGTAGTGGTGCTTTCATGTGGGACCAGTCATCCGTTTTTTTTTTTGTTGTTCGGCCTATGAGAGCATGAATGGTTTAGGAATGGGAATACCCACATCTTGATGACGAATAAGGGCATCTGCTGTATAAAGTTTTTTTTGCAGACAAGAGTTTTGTCCTGGGTGGTCTTGTCCCGTCGTTCGGCCTGTGAAGGAGGGGCGGTGCTTGCATGTGGGACTTGTCATCTAGGATCCGTTTTTGGTGCTGTTGCTTGTTGCCCCCTGTTTTGTTGTATTTGGCTGTTCCCTTCCTCTTTTCTTTGCCTCGTTGCCCTTTGGTTGTGTGCAAGTGGGTCGATATGACACATGGGGGTGGGGGCAGCCGCCGCTCAACCTACATCCACGTGGGCGGCCTTGTACGCAAAAGAGGTTCTGAACAGGGGGAGTTGTAAGTAAGAAGATAAAAAATGAATTGATATCTTTTTTGTTTCCTTTCGTTTTTTTTTCCGCTTTTGCTCTCTGATAACTTGGTGACAATATATAGATAGATAGATATATATACAGACACACAGAGAGAGAGAGAGAGAGAGAGAGAGAGAGAGAGAGAGAGAGAGAGAGAGAGAGAGAGAGAGAGAGAGAGAGAGAGAGAGAGAGANGGAGGGAGAGAGAGAGAGAGAGAGAGAAATGGATGGATGGATGGATGGATGGAGGGAGGGAGGGAGGGAGGGAGGGATTGGGAGGATTTAGCGATGTTGATTGGGTGTTTTTTGTGATGTGTTGGTTGATGCAGGGGCAAAATGCTCTTCTTGAAAGTCCAACTGGGACAGGAAAGACTCTGTGTTTGTTGTGTGCAACATTGGCATGGCGCAAAAGTGTTGCGAACAAAATCGCACAATTGACAGCGGCCAGTCGCAATCGAGAAGCATCTCAGAGCGGTGGTGATGGGAATGGTAATCCTGGAAATGTGGCCAATAATAATCTAGGTGATCCCGATTCTTCATCGACAATTCCGTCCGTTCCAAATATCATCTATGCCTCACGAACTCACAGCCAACTTCGCCAAGTCATCAGGGAGCTTAAGGCCACCAAATACCGGTCAGTTATTAATGATATTAGATATTTTTATTTGATGATATCATTGATATGCCTCTATCGATTGCACACATGGCCAAACCAACAGCCTTTCGTGGATTTTTATTTTTTAAATGAAAAAACTAAGCTTTATTCTTCTCTCAATTTAACCTTTCAATATCTACCTACCACTACTCCTAAGCCTATACAGGGGACCCCAGCAAGCATAGCTATCTCTCACAATTAAGTGTGCCTATTCGGCGGTGGTCAGGGAGTAGGGTGGGGTGCAGGTGGGGGGGCCTGGCTAACGCAAAGCCCGAGCATTTTGCCAGTAGCTGCGCCTCCCAGCTACATCCCCCAAACCCCATCGAGTAGCAGCAGTGGCTAACGCAAAGACCTAGTGCATGTGTTTTGTTGTTTTCTTTTTTTTTTAATGAAATTTCGATGGAAGATTTTTGTTACGACTCTCGAAGATACGTTTATTTGCCGGCTGCCCCTCAAACAGCTGGCTTACTCTGGCATGCCCCTCTGACGGCAAGTCCAAATTTGAGAAACATTGCTGATGCCGCTTGGGCCTGACCGTTTTCTCAATGGGCTGGCCCCTAACATTATTGTACGTGTCTGATTCTATGAGGATTTAAACCATACTTGTGGTGGGTATATGCGGTGCGGTGCGCTGATCGCTGATGCGCAAAAGAAAAGCGGCCGTGATGTGTGTGTACGCGCGCGCGCGCGCGCGAGAGAGAGAGAGAGAGAGAGAGAGAGAGAGAGAGAGAGAGAGAGAGAGAGAGAGAGAGAGAGAGAGAGAGAGCCCTTTCACATTATTCAGAAAGCCCCTGCCGGTACTCCGAAAGGCCCCTGCCAAAAATTAGCAAGGGGTTCCTCGCCAAGAAAAGGGTAGTCGTTGGGCTTATAGGAAGGCAGTAGCAGGCCAACTATATATAGTCAAGTCTGGATTCGAATTCAGGTCTGTGATTCAGCAGTTATGGGTTACTAAGTTTGTAACTCAGCAATCAGCCCACAGAATCACAATAGATTCTGAGAGGAAAAGTGGCAGGGCAAGCTGACAGTCAATCCCCCGGATAGGGAGCAATCAATGCTGCTCAGGGTTCCTTCGGCCAGACGGAAGGAAGTGTGAGAGTGTTCACCATGTATCTCAATTTTTGACTTGCCGGTGGAAAGGAACCGGACTGACGCTCCCCAGAATGGATACGGAGCCAGGACCATAAGGACCAGTTTTAACAAAAAAAAAAGAGAGAATTTTTTTTTTTTATAACTCAGCACGTGATTTTCAGGGCTTCACTCCACTAACCACCAAATGTGCAAAACTAGAATGAATCTTCTGCTAGAAACTGGAACCATATGCCACCATATGTTTTGTCTTTTGTGCAAGTGGTGACTAGTGGAGCGAGGCCCTTAGGGCCACTGCACGTAAGAAAAGGAAAAACAAAAAGAAAGGCAGAGCTACTGTAGTATTGGTAGTAAGTTGGTAACCCATAACTGCCGGAACGCGGACGTGAATTTGATTCCAGAATAAAAATTGCTTGCCTGCTCGTGTCCCACCAGCAATTTGATGAACGTCTCTGCTGGGGGCCATTTGGAAAAGAGGCCCTTGCTAACTCTCTGCTGGGGCCCCTTTGGAAAAGAGAATGGATCTATTGAGGAGTACGATGTGGCGCCAAATTTTATTTTATTTTCTGTGCACTTACAATTTTCAGAAGGGAGGGGGACACATTTGGCTACCACAGCCTGCCCTTTTTTATTTTTGTAATCGACCCTATTTTCCGTACTTGCGCCACATCACATGTCTGTGCGCTCACATGCGTGTGTGTGCTATGCGCCGCACGTGCGCGACTCCCGTGTTTGTGATGCGCCGTATGTATGATTCGAACTCATGAACTGTTTACCAACAGGGCCATGTGTGTACCATTCAGCCACACGGGCTCTAGGTGGGGAAAGTTGTTTCTTCTGAAGTTTGATTGATTTCATTTATTTATTCATTTATTGAACGGAAACTGCAAAATCAGTGGCACGAATATCCCAGCGGTTTGGGTTCGTCATCCCTTTTCTTTGTTTCGTTGAAAATGGTTTAAGACTTAAATTAATTGATTTTCGTTTTTTGCGAGGAATGAGCCCTCGCGGGGCCCTTATCGGACACACAAGTGTTCTGGGCTGCGGCCCCCAGCAAGCCTCGTGTCTGCCCTAAGTGAAGGCGGGCCTGAATATCCGCGTGAGACCTATTTTCAACATTTTCCACGTGTGGGGTATTAGACAGTTGCAGCACGCCAGTTGGTTACAGAGCAATGTGAGCCTCCAGGCTCCTTCCAGAAGCAAGGGCTGCGCTGCACAGTTGAGCCCAGGGATCAGGTGGTTGCGCCCTGGGCACATGTCGTGTGAGGCCGACACATCACAGACTGGCCGCGGGCCAATGAGAAAGTAGCATTGTCGTCACACAGGCACTGCGAGCCAATAATGCTGCGAACACTTGGAGGCTGGGTGGCTGCTTGGATGTGCCCAACTGAAAAGGGCACAGGCCCGTAACAGTAGGGTGGGGCCTGGGCACAGACACTGGGGCCCGACTGGAAGCTACTGGAAACCTCCCAGGCCAGGCCCACACAGCCAGAGGAAGGGCCGCACGTTCCATAAAGGAAAGTGATTTGCTCAGGCAGTCTCATTCTGGCCTTGGCAGGCAATTCGGACTTGCTGCTGCGTTGCTGTGCTAGTGTCTGCATGGGCGCTGCGGGTTGGACGCGCGCAACGGCACTGAGGTGAGAGGGGCGCTGCTGAGGCAGCGGGCACACAGCAGCCATAGCCAGGCAGCTGGGGCGCAGACGGGTAGTGGCGATGGTTGTCTTTGGGTAGGAGGGGCACGCAGAGGTGTGATGAGGGGAGGAGAGAGAACGTGCCTGGTGTATGCTGGTGGTCGGCATTGGTGTTGAGATCACATACATTGGTCTTAGACTTTGATGTGATCCAGTCGCATGAACGTAGATAGGATAGATAGGCTGAGTAGAGTGGCAGGGCGCTGGGCGCCAGATAGTAGGAGCGACCTTGGATACAGTGTGCGTGTGACCAGGGAGCGTCGGCATTGACACTCGAATTCATTGTATTGCTCTTGTTTGGATGGAATCTTGGTGCATTGTGCTCTCTGCTCGGTACATGACTATCTGGACTACTTCGTGATTTTGCAACTTGGTTTTCTGTCTATCGCTCTCGCTCATATTCCATGCGTTTTGTTTTTTGAACTTTCTTTATTCCTAATAATTCTATCTGTAAGGTGGAAGTAAGGCAAGCTGACAGTCAATCCTCCGCTACTTGGAGCAATCAATGCTGTTCAGGCGTCCTTCGGCCAGACGGAAGGAAGCGTGTGTGTGTAAATTGTTGTATTCTCTTGACTTGCCGGTGGAAAAGGAACCGGACTGATGCTCCCCAGAATGGATATGGAGCATATATATATTGTCATCTCCCTCTCTGCCTACGGTTTACCGGGCAGTTCTATTTGACGATATATTTTGTCATCTGTTTGACTATATGTATATATATTCTATTTGACGATATATATCGTCTATATATATATACTAGTGCCAGCGGTGTATCTGGAGTGTATTTTTTGGCTGTGACAGACCTTTCTTTGTTTCGTGTGTGTTTTGCTTGCTTGTGATGGGGTGTGAACAGACAGTCTGTAGAGTTTTCCATCTGGTGTGGGTGAGTGATAGTCTGCTTTGACTTTTGCCACAGGTACCTTGAGGGCAGTGGTTGGTGCCCACCTCAGGGTATCAGTTGTCGGACAGTCGTTGATGCTTAACCACAGCCGGGGTTAAGGTGGATTATCACTTACAGTGTGATTAGTTAGGGGATTCTGCAGACTGTTGAGGGTTCAGCCTCCTGATGAGTCGGTGAAACTCCGACGAAACAGTTTGTCACAGCCCCTCGTTTGTTGTTCTCTTCTCCCTCTCTGCCTACGGTTTACCGGGCAGATCTGTTTGACTATATATATAGATATAGTCAAACAGAGATGCCCAGTAAACTGTAGGCAGAGAGGGATATGTATAACATTCTATTTGACGGTTTGTGACGATATATTGTCACATAATATGCATCATTGAAACTTCCCCTGGGGTGTAATGTGGAGGTCCCCCAGCCTTCAGCTTGTTTATGAAATGACATTTGAATTTTGAGGGGAAAAAAAAACTCCCACTGTATAGCTTTAGGAGAAGTGGTAGGTAGGTAGTGAAAGATGAATTTGAGAGAAAAAAAAAGAAAGAGAAAAAAAAAAGACTTCAGAAAAAGATGTCACTAACTAATAGGTTTCCTGCCCACTTGCATTGACGAGGGGATGAAAACCGAGGGGAAGCTTTGCTGGACTACCGTGTTCACCCGAGAATACGCCTGGTCATTACTGCTTGCATCTTAACTCAAAGTTGCCCCGTATGTTGTATTCGGGTGAACGCAGTGGGTGAGATGACAGCTTGCAGGTGAAGAAGCAGAAAAAAATTGCACGTGGCAACCAATGGGCCTAGCTCACTTGGTACACCCATGAACTGTTGAATTACAGCCCCAAGTTCGAATCCAGATGAATGTTGATGAATGCGATGAAATAATTCTGAATTACCTGGGGCCGGTCAACTCGATGACGATATCTCAAGACCATCGCCTTTGTTAACGAAAAATATAAAAAAAAAAACACGTGTTAAATATTTTTTGCATGCACGGGGTACGCTCCTCGTGTGATTAACTTTTTTTTTTTACCTTCTTATTCGCAACCCTGCTCCTCAGGTGTTTAGCTTTTTTACCTTCTTCTTTTCAACCCTGCTCCTCAGGTGGTCAACTTTTTGTTTGTTTTTCATTTTTTGTTTTTTTGTTTTTTTGTTTTTTTGTTTTTTTGTTTTTTTTTGTTTTTTTGTTTTTTGTTTTGTTTGTTTACGAATACACAGGTCACAGGTTCAACTCTCGGGGTCTACAGAGGTACTGTACACAGATAGGGCAAGGTCTAGGGATCGAACCCTGGGGTCTGCGTCTGCTAC